CTCTTGGGCCAGAGATGACTTAAAAAATGATAGAAGATGTCCAGCTGATCAAGCGTAGAATGAAGCAAGCTCAAGACAGACAAATGAGCTATGCGAATTTAAAGAGAAAGGATGTAAAATTTGAAGTGGATGATAACGTGTTCATTAAGATTTCTCCTTACAAGCGGGTAATGCGGTTTGGTGATAAAGGAAAACTAGCACCTAGATTCATTGGCCCTTTGAAGTGTTACAACGAGTGGAAAATGTAGCTCACAAATTGGCGCTACCACCAAATATGGATAGAGTGCACAATATTTCCCATGTATCAATGCTTCGAAGGTATGTTAGTGATCCCTCCCATATACTAAAAGTAGAAGAAGTGGACTTAGAAGATAATCTCGTTTATGAGGAGCAATAAATACAGATCTTAAATAGAAAGATTAAAGAGCTCCGAAACAAAAGTATTCCACTAGTAAAAGTCCTATGGAAGAATCATAAGGTAGAAGAAGCAACATGGGAGGTAGAGCAAGATATGCGGAACCGCCACCCTGAGTTGTTCGTTTGAATTTCGAGGACGAAATTCTTGTGAAAGGGGGAGAATTGTAACTGCCACATTGAGGTACATAGCTTTACGTATTCCCTAATACATTTAGTTGAATTTTGTTAAAGTTTTCTTGAACAAGTGTGAAGAAAATGTCTTAAAATTTCATTAGGGGCAAAATGGTTTTTTCACTCATAATTAGTTGAAAAAGTGGGGAGTGAAAAAATATAGAATTTCATGGAGAAGTTAATAAAAATGAGAGCATTATTGTAATTGACTAAGGGATATAGATGAAATTTCATAGAAAGTGCAAGGGCAAAATGGGAAAGTAGAAGTAATAAATGAGATATTTTGAGTTCATTCTTGAAAACCCTATCATTCTCTACTCCCTCACATGCCACTTTCGTCTCAAAATTCTCTCATTTTCTTCATCAAATTTCCAAGGCAATTTAGAGGATTTTTTGTTGGATTTTGGTAGATATTTAATCCTAAGCATCCAAAGGTAAGAGTTCTTATAATATGATGTGAGATTAATTTTTAAAGTGTTAAATTCTTATAGTTATATGCTTAGGGTTTAAGAAGAAGAGGAGATCTACCCAAAGAGAGAGTTTCTAGTGTGGAACTACCCAAGATCAAGATAAGTAAATCTAACCCTAAGTTTGATTTGAGTAAGTTTATAGAGATTTGTATATGTATGTATGTGCTTATGTTTTTGAGAAGTTTTGATGAGATTGATACTTGATGATAATTAAAATTCAGCCATGAGAATGTAGACTTTGCCTATATGGTGATTGATGGAAGTTTAGTTGAATTTAGAAAGAGTTTGAGTAGACTTTATGGAGTGTAGTTTTCTAGCCAGGTTTAGTGTTGATTTAATGGAGTTTTGCTCCAAATATTGGTGCAGAATGACTACCTCAAAATATTTTGTAGTCTAATAATCTATGATGGATTTCAAGTATGGGAATGTTGTTGGTAGAAAATACTAGTTCTCTAATGATATTTTTATATGCCATAATGCATTCTCACATTCTCACATTTGCATTTAGAAAGAATAGCAAAGAATGAGCATATTTCCATGCACATGCACATGCACATGCACATGGATGAGAATAGTAAAGAATGAAGAAAAAGAAAGAAAAGAATTAATTGCAAAAAGATAAGAGAAGAGAAGGTTGTTGCGATGGGGAACCCGTGAGTGGCAGAGAAGAATAGTCCCACATACATGCCGCCTCATATTCAAGAAAGCATATCTCGAGTTATACACAACGGAGGTCTCGTTTTAAAGCTTAGAGACATGGCTATAACTTTTATGTTTAGGTCTCAACCCAGTTCAATCGGTAAGATGCCCAAAAATCACTTAAAAGGTCACGACTGTGACAGGGCAACCATGGTAACATGTTTTTTCTTAGGATTTTCATCAAACAAATTGCATGTATACTCAAACTCTATTTAGCTACACTTCTACTTCTTTCTCAAGCCATCAGTATTTGGAAATTTGATGAAGAAAATCAGAGAATTTAGAGATGAAAGTGGCGTGTGAGGGAGTAAAGAATGATAGAGTTTTGAAGAATGAATTCAAAATATCTCATTTTTTACTTCTACTTTTCTATTTTGCCCTTGCACTTTATATGAAATTTCATCTATGTCCTTTAGGCAATTACAATAATGCCCTTATTTTTATTAACTTCTCCATGAATTCTATCTCTTTTCACTCCTCACTTTTTTAACTAATTATGAGTGAAAAGATCATTTTACCCTTAATGAAATTTTAAGGCATTTTCTTCACACTTGTTCAATATAACTTTAACAAAATTCAACTAAGGGTATTAGGGAATACGTAAAGCTACGTACCTCAATGTGGGCGTTACACAAGTCTTATAAACTAGCCATAATTTTCATTTCCTAGGGTTGTGGGGTATGACAATAACCAACTTACTTTGAACAACTATTGAACACACTTTCGAGTACACCTTCTCCATTATTTATAATGTTCTTCACTCCTACACTAAAGTTCTAGGTATGAGTAGGGGTGAAATGGAGTCGAGTATCTGGTAAATCAAACTCGACTCGATCGCTATAGTACCGAGTTCGAGTTCGAGTTCGAGCCTGATAAATCAAGTTCAAATTCTAATTCGATACTTGAAATTGGAAATCAAGTTCTTATAATCGAGTTTTTTTTCGAGTTTTAACTAAGTTCGAGTTTGAACTCGATTTCGAGCTCATCTAACAGGGGTGGATTTGCAAATTCTATAACTTTTAAATTACATATGACCCTTATTACTTTAAAAACTATCAACTTAACCATCGAGCTTGGAAATACTCGCAAACATATCGAGTCGAGTTTTATTGTGATCGAGCTTGACTCGATTAACTACTTGAACTTGAACTCGAACTTGAACTCGATTCGATTAACTACTCGAACTCGAACTCGACTCGACTAATGCTAGTCGAGTTCGAGCTAATATCGAGTCGAGTTCGAGTAACTCACAAGTAGCTCGACTCGATTTTCACCCCTAGGTATGAGTTCTTTGTTAATGTATATTTTTGAAAGATCCAAGATCCTACAAGGTTGTAACATGGATTTCCATTGACTTTGAAAAGTTGTGAACTTGACTCTTAAAACTCAAAGATGTGAAGTATCCTCTGGCGAAGTTATATTTTCTAGGTTCAACAGCAATAGGAGTTCGAACAATGGAGGGAAGCATTGTTGCGAAAGTAAAAAGAAAATTTGATTCGCTAAGGTAAATGTTTGTTCCTCTAATGTTTTGATGCGAGAGCAAAAAGAAAAAAATAATTAATTATTATTATGTTGAATTTTGTTTTGTCCCACATGGGAGAGATATGTTTTAACTTTTCATTTGGAAGGCTATAAATAAAGTTTTATTTTATCTTTTGTAATCATCCTTGAATATTATTAAATATATCTTGAGTTAAGCATTTGCTTTCTCTTACTCTTTGGGGTTATAGCTATCCTTGGCTTAGCCAACAAATGTGGCTTTTCGGCTAATCTTGCCATAGTGGGGTTATACTCCTTCAAAATGTCCCTTTGAAGTATTATATGGCAAACATCCTCTTAGCCCTTTAGATCTTCCGCCATTGCCCACTACTTGTGAATGTAGTGCTTATGCTGATAGACGTGCCAAACATATAAAGAAGCTTCATGAAGAGGTTCAACAGAAGATTTTTCGTCATAATGTTAAGTATCAATGGCAAGCCAACAAGCCCAAAAGACCGGCTAAATTCAAGGAAGGAGATTTAGTGTGGATTCATCTAAGGAAGGAATGGTTCCGTAAGTTGCGTATGAAGTTGTCTCCTCGAGTTAACGGACCATTCCGAATTTAAATAACTGAAGAAGAAACTAAAGCTCTGATACCAAACTGACGCTGGGACATCGAGAGAAACCCCAATCTTGGCGAGATTGGAAACTCCATTATAGATGCCAATCGTGGTGAGATTAGAATAAACTCCACTATGGCGAGATTAGCCAAAATGCTATATTGGTTGACTAAGCCAAAAATAACTATAACCTCAAAGACAAAGTGAAAGCAAATGCTTAACTCAAGATATATTTAATAATATTCAGGGATGATTACAAAGGATAAAGTAAGACTTTATTTATAGTCTTCTCAGTGAAAAGTTAAATCATATCTCTCCCATGTGGGACACAACAAAAGTCAACATAATAATAATTAATTTTTTTTCTCTTCCAACCCTAGAAGAATGATGCGAGAGCAAAAAGAAAAAAAAAAATTAATTATTATTATGTTGACTATGGAAGAGATATGCTTTAACTTTTCACTTAGAAGGTTATAAATAAAGTCTTACTTTATCCTTTGTAATTATCCCTAAATATTATTAAATATATCTTGAGTTAACCATTTGCTTTCACTTTCTCTTTGATGTTATAGTTATCCTTGGCTTAACCAACCAAGGTGGCCTTTTGGCTAATCTTGCCATAGTGGGGTTTATTCTAATCTCACCACGATTGATATCCATAATAAGGTTTCCAACCTTGCCAAGATTGGGGTTTTCTCGTGACATCCCGGTGTCATGTTTTGTCGTGTGTTAAGCATTAAAAGTCACTTCAGCAAGAATAGAGTTATAAGACACTATCTTTTTGTATATTTTTTTGTACTTTGGAAGCTTTTGTTAATCACTGATAGAATGATTCTTATTTCAGATTTTCTCATTTTAGTCTTGAACCTATTAAACTTTTGTCCATTATTTGTGCCAGGGTATTATCATCAAGAAGACACTTTTTTTTTAAAGGACACAAGTTTCATGTGTAAATTTCTGAAAAAGGAAAAAATCAATGCTTCTCCCACTTGTTTTTCATATTTTCTACTGAAAAGGTTTTCAAAGTGTTAGTTTCTGAATTTATTTACCAATTCTTTACTTGTTATCTGTTGTTCTCAACATGATTTCACTAGTGAAATTAGAATATGATTTGTATCTTAGAAATTCTGTCTTTCATTTACAGAGGTTGGATTGGGTCTCATTGGTTTTGGCATCTTTTTCACATTTCTTGCTGTAATTCTTTTCTTTGATAAGGGATTGCTTGCTCTAGGGAATGTAAGGCACTCTCTCTCTAACTTCGAATTTTTGTAATTTAGATCATTGAAAAAGCCTATAAAACTAACTAACTATAAATCTATGACCAGATATTTTGGCTAACAGGGGTGGCCCTTTTGCTTGGTTGGCAGTCTACTTGGAAGCTCTTTACTAGTAACTACAAGGTATCACATTGGCAGTTTTCATTCTAAATCCATTGGGATAGTTAATTATTTTCCTTTTCTTTTTTCCTTTTCCTTTCAAGGTAGAAACTCATTTAAGTTAGATCTTTGTAAAAGAGTTAAGGCGTAAAGCAAAACCTAAGGTGACACAAGAACTAATTATGCAGTGTTGGAAAACAACTCTCCCGGACGGCTACCTCCTTGCCGTTACAAATGAATATACCACCCTGGACAAGTGCAGTGTCCAGTGGCAAACTAAGCATTTCTGTTGGCTACCCTTGGTAAAAACCTAGTAGCCCGGACTATCTAGCTAATATCAGAACCATCTTTATATCTTGTGACCATGGGTATTAATTGAGCTGTCCTTGGACATTTAGGCTCTAAGGGATCCTGGAGCCAAGTGACATTTCTAAGAGGGCATGTTGAGGAATGTTAATTCAAGCACATTACCGAATTAAAAAGTAATATGCACATTAATAGAAGCCAAACAAGAGAACTCTTGTATTTTGAGTATAAATATTAGTTGGCTAAACAAGGGAGCACAATGCTTCCAAAATTATGCTTCTGTCCTGCTTCACTGTAACAGAACTTGCCCCACCCAAATCGGATTCTCTTTTCATTTCTGTGAAGTCTTTGGCATTGCCGACCCACTGAAGAGAGTGTTATTACGAAGTAACTCATTGTCCATGGGCAAGATATTGATAGTGGTTGTCTAAGTTGGTTACGGTAGCTGCCACATTATTCTTTTACAGTGGATCAGGCCTCATTTCTACCTTTGATCTGCATATTTGGTGTTAGACACCAAAAGTTAATGCCTGAGAATGGTGTCATTTAAAAGTTAGACGCATTTGGTGATGGAGACGTGCTATAGTTCATTGTTGTTCCTTCTTCTGCAGGGTACTGGCTGCTTTGTTCTTGGGCTCTTTTTCTTATTTGTACGATGGCCACTAGTTGGACTAATCTTGGAAATCTATGGTTGCATTGCTCTCTTTGGGTTAGTTCCTTTCTCGATCATAAACATTGAACTGGATTAATGTGCTTGTGCTGCTAAAAAAGTTTATTACTTCGATGTCTTGTTGCAGTGGGTTTTGGCCAACTGTGAAGGTTTTCCTCTTCCACATTCCAGTTGTTGGATGGATCATACAGTATCCTCTCATGGTATGTTACATTTGTTATCTCTCAGCCAAAAACTTAAGCTTCTAGGTTATGCCTCGATAGTAATATATAAGCTCTAACACACCTTTTGAAGTGCAATGCATTCGGATCTAATACAATCATGAGAATACATACATCTTATTACAACATAGAACCCGTTGATTGACCTACTCTGGCACTGAGTTAAGTTACTGCACAAAAATGTTTAATTTTTTAAACTGGTTAGATAGTGGTTCAACAAATAATGATCGATTTATGTTTGTTTCTTGAAACAAGAAAAAAATTACATCACGCCCTATTTGGCTACTGTTTGAAGCCTTGATGTTTCATATATATGCACATATGTTGACTAACTCAGCAAAGACGAACATATGTGTCCATGCAGACAGAAAATTAGTTGAGAAAAGTACCTAAGACTTTCAATTGCGGAAGATGCATATGTATTTTATGTTGGTTGCTCTGCCTCCTGGTGAGGACGAGTGTTTGAGAATGCAAAATATTTCACCAGCTAATAGCTTGTTTCTACTTTTAATTTCGGTTGCTATAGAAGTATTTTCCCTTTTAAAAACTTATTTAAAAGAATGAAAAAGAGGTATAATCAGTTTTTGTCATGTCATAATCTAGAAAATCAGTTGAAGTTGATTTCAGCTAATGGTTATCGAAATTTTCATAGAAATTTTCACCATTTTTATTCATTTATTTTATGATATTTCTTCATTGCAACTGCCAATGAACTCATCATATTATTATTGTTGTTGTCGTTGTACCATGAAACAACTGTATGCTTAGGTATCACATCACAAAATTCTGGTTATAGTTCAAGCACTTATACTATGCTATTTGTGAAAACATCAGTTTCTTAATCGTCTGAATGGAGCCTAAAATAGGACACCTGCTGGCATTTGACATTTTGCTGATCAAGTGTATTCTCCTGTAAAGAACACGGTGATTACGAACATACCAAGTTCTTTTCTTGCAGTTGAACAATTTATCCTCGTATTATTGAGGTTCGCCACCATAACTGATGTTATCGACGAGAATTATTGTTTTGCTTTGGATGTCAGTTAAAATGGACGTCCTTAGATAGAAGGGATTACCCTGCAAAAGATTACAAGAACTACAAAATGAAGTTCCCAAGTAATCCATGTGCTCTTTTAAGGTAAGATTTGCAGATGTTGTATCCAGATAGATATGAGCTTGGTGGTTGTTGGGTTGAATGGCAGTTCTCCTATTGACTTTAATGCCATTTTTTTTTTTTAAGGATTTGTTGGCCTTGATTTTAATTTTCCTCCCGAGTTATACTATCAACTATACTATATTAACCATACTATATAAAAGTTGACACACAATTTTGGAATATTTCTAGACCCCTAAACTATATGGATATTGTACAAACTGTGAGTAATTGACCGGATGCGCGCAACGGAAAAAACGTAATATGTAAAACGAATCGATCAATTACATGAACCAAGATCCGAGTACAGATTGTAACATTTTCATGCATAAACTGAAACGTAAAATTGAACTGTAGTAAAAACAAATCTATACAAGGATTTAGTTCATATTGACGTTTGGAGGCTTCTCCGAGTATCTCTGACTTCGGACATGAACACTGTTCACTGGATACTGTTCAACGACATTGTTCACGTGATTCTTTGCTAATTGATCAAATGTAGGATTGTAATCATGGAAGTCCTCACGAAGATAATCTGTAGAATCCTTGATTATTTTGTTAGAACAATCAAGGGATTAAAAAATCAAGAAAGAAGAACAAAAAAAATTTCTTTCTTCACACAATAGTGTAAAGTGAGAGAGAGAGAGAGATAGGGTGGCTAGGGTTTTTGATTGAATGAATATCTCACATTGTTTTAATTTTAAGTTACACTTATATAGTGTAACAATTAAAACCCTCTTCCACCTAGGAATGGCCATGGGTTCCAACGCTAATTCACCCTTGCAACTAAACACACCCTTTATGGTATTTTAATTAATTAATTATTATTATAATTAAAATCATTTAATATATAATAATATATTAACATTTAATTAATAATAATAATTCATTTAAATATATATATATAGATATATTTAAATATAATCTCACTAATTTAATTTTAATATTAAAATTAAATACAAGTAACAACCTCAACAAATTTAATTGCACTGTAAGATTACCAAAATACCATTTTGTCATAAAAGGCAAAAATACATTTCTCACAAATTGATTCTTAAATTATTTTCTAAGTGTATGACCCGTAGGTTCCTCATCATAGCGGCAGTGTGTAGTATCGCGATTAACTCCAATTAATCGTCTCACTACATAAAGACCAAGATTGATCCCTAGCAAGACATCATGACCACCCGATAGATTCAGATTCAGTAAAACTGTAGCCTGTCAATGGTATGGTTACCGTGCAATCAAATCCTTTCATCATCTGTTATCTCAACGAGACTGAGGTACAGAAATAGTGTCAACCTCAAATATCCTCGAAATGTTTGTATTCAGTTAATAGACCAATGATCGGAATAATAAATTGGATTGAGCATCAACTCAATCCCACTGTGGCCACAGATTTAGTGTCATTGCCATTTACTGAATTACCCAGTGAGATAACTTCTCCCGTACCCAGAAGTGATGAATCCTTTGTTGATTTACCATAGTCTAGATACACTTTTTTGTTGGAGTAGGTGCCCTAGAGCCAATCAATTATTGTGAAATTGACTATTTGTAATAATGTTCATTAATCAATAAAAGACATTTTATACTATATCGCGTAAATCATTATTATTGCAATATGTATTGATATATGTCCTTAGAATGGTAGAACCGTGACGAGGGTATCAAGTGTTTCAAATCTTGATAGTGAGAACCCTATGAGCACATATGGTGGCCATTCTAGAAACGTCCGTAGCCCCAGTATTATTCTGAACTAAGGGCACAGATAATACGGTAAGGCTATCATAGTGTTGAACGACCCTGTCGAAAGGCAGTGACTGATCTCACTTGTCAAGGTTGTTTGGTGACAACCTGGTGCAACACATGGGTGTTTGTTGTAGGCGATTACACCACAGCAAGTTCACTGGACTGACCCACCAGAGGATTCCATATGGATGGTAACCCTAGTGTCTATGGAACAAATCCTCTAACGAATGGTGGTGCATGTGATCCTTAGACTTGAGATCACCGGAGCGCCTTGTGCACCGATTGGTGTAGTTTGACACTAGCCTAACGCAGTTCTTTTCAGAGCTGTCAATACGGTGGTGATTGGCTGCATCAAGGAGTGTATCAAGACTATGGTGGATTGACAGAGGATTTATCACTCCCGGGTATGGGAGAAAGTTATCTCACGGCGCAATTCAGTATATGGCAATGACACTAAAACTGTGGCCACAGTGGGATTGAGTTGTTGCTCTATCCAGTTTATAATACGGGTCATTGGTCCAGAAACTGAATACATAATATCGAGAGTAACCGAAGGTTGACACTATTTCTATGCCTTCGTCTCGTCGAGATAACGTATGATGAAAGGATCGAATTGTACGGTAACCATATCATTGACAAGTAGCTACTTTGCTGAATCTGAATCTATCGAGTGGTCATGATGCCTTGCTAGGGGCCAATCTTGGTATGTGTATTAGTGAGACGATTAATTGGTGTTAATCGCGATACTATACACTACTGATATGATGAGGAGCCTATGGGTCACACATATAGAAGATAATTTAAGATCCAAGAAGAAAGAAGGGCGTTTTCGTCTTTTAAGGAGAAAGGGTATTTTGGTAATTTCACAATGCAATTAAATTTGCTGAGGTCGTAGCCTTTATTTAATTTGTTAGAAAAATTAAATAAGTGAAATTACGTTTAAATGTGTGTTCGCACATATTTAAATATATTATCATTATTGTTAAATGTTAATATATATTTAAATATATATTAATTGATTTTAATTGAGATAATGATGGAAAATAAAATAAATCAAATTGGGAGTGTTTGGCAACATGAGGCGTTTGGGTTGGAGCCCAAGCCTATTGCATATGGGATTATGGCAACTTAATTAACTATAAAAGGAAAAATGTGTGTTAATTAATAAAAGGAATTATTTTCTCTTGAAATTAAAAACACACATAGCAGCCCCATCTCCTCCCATGCCAGTTTTGGGTTTTAGCCTAAAATCAATTTCAACTGATTTGCTTTCTTCTTACTCTTGAAGCCAAAGAGGATCTAGCAAATCCCTCTTTAGTTCTTTTGAGATTGTCTTCGTGTGGACTACGCAAGTTCGATCCTACACTTGGATCTGTAGCAAAACATTCGTCGACAAATTTGGAGGAGCCTCCAACGTGCGTTTGTTTTCTTTAAACTCAGATTTATTTTTCTGCAGATTTTATTTAATATGAATTGTAAAATTATACCCTTGATCTTGGCTCATGTAAACGATCCTATTATATTATTTATTTTTGTTTCCGCTGTGTATACGGGACCATTTACTAACATTTTTAATGTAGCCAATCATTACCGTATTGATAGCCCTGAATAGAACTACGTTGGACTAGTGTCAAGCTTTACCAATTGGTGCACAAGGCGCTCCGATGATCTCAAGTCTAGGATCACATGCACCACCATCCGTTAGAGGATTTATTCCATAGACACTGGGGTTACCATCCATAAGAAATCCTCTAGTGGGTCTGTCGAGTGAACTTGCCTCTAGCAAGCACCAATGCGTTGCACCACCAATGCGTTGCACCAGGTTGTCGCAAACAACCTTAACAAGTGAAATCAGTCACTGTCATTCGACATGGTCGTTCAACACTATGATAGTCTTACCGTATTATCTGTGTCCTTGGTCAGAATAATACTGAGGCTACAGACGTTTCTAGAATGGCCACCATATATGATCATAGGGTTCTCACTATCAAGATTTGAAACACTTAATACCCTCGTCAAGATTCTCCCATCCTAATAACATATATCATTACATATAACTATGATTTACACGATATAGAAGAGCATGCCTTTTATTGATAAATAACATTTATTACAGAGTCAATTTTTATAATAATAGATTGGCTCTAGGGCATTTACTCCAACACAAACCCCTTTGAGGTTTTGGAAATGGCTCTCCACTCTCTACTGTTAGTCAAACGTTAAGACTTTTTTGTTAAGTTAACAACATTGGGAACAAAATAGTAATTGTTTATGGATAACATTAAAAAACTTAAACCTAATACCGTTTTAGGGTCCTAGATAAGATGATAAGAATCAGAAATCGTTTCCGTCACTTGTTCTTAAAATAAGAGGATGAAATTTTTTTTAGTTATTTCTACTCACAATATGCGACACATTTTTGTCTTCCATTTTTTAATTAGGCGATGAAACACATTTCAATACCTATAATTGTGGTGTTTGAAATAAACCTAGATGAAACGCATTTCATTACCAATAATTGTGGTATTTGAAATAAACCGAAAAAAAAAGCAACAAAATGTACCTCATCACCTATACTAATGAAATAAGCCCGAGAAAAATGTTACATTAGTAAAAGAAGCGATGAAATATTTTTAATCTCTTGTTCTCACAATACATAAGTGACGAAAGTTCTTATCACCAAATCATATGTATCAGTGACAACAATAACTTGTTGGTAATGAATCAGTATCCTACGATACGCGATACGTATCTTACGATACGATTTGATACGGGTTGCCAATGATACGTATCAGAAAGTGTATCCTAAACCTTTCGATACATTGATATGTATCTATTCGTATCGTTAAAAATATCGATATAAATCGATACGACTTTATTAATTTGGGCCAAAGGCCTAAAAAAATTTCAGGACGGATTCGGGTTACCCAACCTGGTTCACTAAAACCTGCCAAAATTTACCCATTTTGTATGGAGAAAGTGAAGAGGAACATGTGTTACCC